CAAGGGTCCCCAGACATGTTGCCGGGGCGTGCTGCAGCAGCCACAGCACGCAGGCAGGGGGGTAAACCCTGGGCAACAGGATCCAAGGTGACAGAGAAATAAGTCACTGGATGATTTTTGTCACCATGCTCCTGAGTAAGAACCCCAAGTGCACAACCAGATTACTCTTTTCTGCCACGAGCAAAAGGCTTACAGTAGTTAGGTAACCCTAAGCCGGGGGCAGTGAAAAGCACTAAAGAGTCAGTTTCTGAGGCAGATAATGAAGGGGAACAGAGGAGTAGATCATTTACATATTGGACCAATGTGGATTCAGAGGGGAAGACCAGGTCAGTGAGGTCTCTGGCTAATGCTTGGGAAAAGTAAGGCGGGCTTTCTGTGTACCCCTAGGGAAGTGTGGTCCATGTGTACTGCTGCCCCTTGTAAGAAAAGGCAAAAAGATATTGGGACTTAGGGTGAACCGGGACAGGAAAAAAAGTAGAACATAGATCAATAACAGTAAAATGAGTTGCATCTGGCGGGATAGAAGCCAGAATAGTTGCTGGGTTAGGGACTACCGGAAAGGTGGGTACGACAATGCAGTTAATGGCTCGAAGATCCTGAACAAACAGCCATGATTTCCCATCAGCCTTTCAGACTGGGAGGATAGGGGTGTTACGGCGCTGGAACACGGAACAATAATGCCTTGTTCCCGCAGGGTGGACATGACCAGAGCTGAGACCTCTAAATCCCAAAAACCCAGTCCCACGACCCCTTCTCTGACCTCATCCCCGTTCCCGGTACTGTCTGCCCTGCCCTGAATAATGCTGTATTTGCAGAGCCATTAACTTTTGTGAGGACTGCTCCTCTTTCCTTTTTAGAGTGCAGTGGCAATGTTCTGCCACTCCTTGCAATTTGTCCATGGTCTTGGCCTCCCATCCAACACTTATTTGCTTTAACATACTGCTAATAGCAGGTAGGAGACCATTAATAAATGCATGCACCAGGACGCCCTGTCCATTTTCACCTAGTCGCTGTATACCAGAATGTTGCAGAAAAAAAACCCGTCAGTCAGTCAGGTGTGATAGTTGCCCGGGCTTTCTCTCTGTTGCTGTTTTCAGCAATGTATAGCCGTCCAATTGGTTTTTGGAGTCCATACTTGGGGCATGGCCTCATGCAGGCGCTTAGCTTGATTCTTACATTTGTTCCGGTAGGCAGCGTCAGGACCAGTGTCTGGCAAATTAGAATGGTGCTCAGTGGTGGGCCAATTTGCTGTCGTGAGCCATTTTTTTTTCATGCTTGCTAGGGGTTACAAGTAGCTTACACAGTTGCAGGAGGTCTGCCTCAGATGGTTCATAGGTGTTGCACACTAGCAAAAATTCCTCTGCAAATTTGGTAGGGTTTTCCTGGGGCTATGGAAAACCTTTTACAATTGAGTGGAGCTCCATGTGGGTCCAGGGTTTATAGCTCCATATGGGACCGGTCTGCTCACTGGGGTGGGAGCACGGAGGGGGTTGTGTTCAATCCGGATCATCACGCAGAACTGGGTAAAGGGGAGCGCTTGGGCTGGTGTTGGGAGATGCTGCATCCAATAGGGCCTTTAATTTATCATTAGAATTTTTAAGGGAGATGAGCTTCAATTTGGTCCATCTACAATTTGCCTCTTCTCACCACTGCATGAAGCAATCTCCCTCTTCTCTAGCCAATTTAGTTTTGGGGAGGCCAAGTTTGTCTTTTAAGATGTCCACTCGGTCTTTGTCCCAAGATCCTAACAGTGGCCACTGTGATTTGGGATCCCCCAGAATCAATCTAGACCATTTTTCCAGAAATTTACAGGGGTCTGGACCCTTTCTAAAATACATAAACTGAGCCAGGGTCCCTTTAGGGCCAATCACACAAGGAGGAAATTCGGGTTCGTCAGAGCAGTGCCCGGTGCAACACACAAAAGAAGCCCACAGGCTACTGCCTCAATCGCCCTTGCGTTCACTCCAAGGATTTCATCCAAGGCGTGGTGCAGCTGTGATTGTGCAGATTCCAGTAACACAGACCACGGGGACAGGAGCCCCTTGGTCAGCCAGTCCCCAGACAGGGACAGCTCCCAGACTCACTCACACCACAGGGAAGACGGATAGACACAGAGACAAGACCGTCCTCAGTCCGGACAAAACACAGAAATAATTACCTGACCAGAGTCCTGATGTTAGATCCCGGGATCCCTACCAGAACAGAGCGGGAACCAACAAGTTCCATGGCATAGACTTCGCTGTGGTTGTGCACCTTTCTGTTCTGGCAGAGGACCGCTCAGGCCAAATGCCCAGGTGCCAGCTGCCACGGTCGTCCTGCAAGATGGTCAGGGATCACACAACCTCAGTGAAAATGATTGCCATCTCAGTGGAACCTCTAAATTGTCAAAGTCAGACTGGACTCACAGATTTGTCAGACCGCTCTGTTTATTAGCAAAGCCGCTCTGCTAAATGCACCCAGAAAATGTGAGTACCATACAAGGTTCAAACCCCTTCATTTATACAGTCAAAAGAAAGCCAAGTTAACAAGATTAAAAGAAAGGCAAAACTTCACATGATTAGTATGAGGCTAGTCAAGTATCTTCATTTCCATATCAAGCACACAGCAATCTCCTGTCCATATCTCCCTGGTTGTCTCAATTGCTTTCTGCCTAACACCTAATGTTTCCTTTTCCTGTTACCCCATACCCACCTGCCTAGCACTCTGATCTGCATACCTACAAACAACATTAACATACTTTTCTCCTTCCTGGTCAGAGACAAACAGTATTCCTTCAACTTACTCAATTATTACAGCATAATTCATCTTTCTCTTACAGTATAATTATTTCTACTTTCACACAGCCTTGTGTGGGGCTGTATCTTCCAGCCCCACTCATAGCTGCCAGCTCCCAGCCAGCACAAGCTGGTTGCTGGCAGTCCCAGAAGAGGGACCAGTGGATCTGGAGCAGTCCTCTGCCCAGGACCCACCGCCCAAGCCTGTGATACTGCAGACTGACTGCTGCTGGTACTCCCATCCAGACCCACTTCCTCAGATCACCCCTAATGTCATTACCTCACAGAAACTTCCTCTATTATCACCCCTATGTCATTACCTCACAGACACTAAACTTCTTCCCTCACCCCCACTCTGTTCTAAAATTTGATTTGTCAATTTCACATGTGTTCTTTTTTTTTTTTAAATTGTATCACTTTGGTATATATGGTTGTGCTGATTTTCTTCCACATATTGATCTGAGGAAGTGGGTCTGGTCCACGAAAGCTCATCACCTAATAAACCATCTTGTTAGTCTTTAAAATGCTACATACTTCTGTCTTTTGTTTCAGCTAGACCAAACTAACACGGCTGCATCTCTATCACCATCCAGATTCAGTTTAGCTTGAGTATGTCTAAACCCCTTCCTTCTCCCAATGGCAGTGCGGACATAGCTTAAAAGTAATGCTCAGTAGTTTTGCACTAATATGTTCAACTCTCTGAGGCTTGTTTCATGAAAGATCATTTAATTTCCCATTCTTCCTTGCACTTCTCACCGTTGCTACAGCTTCTGATTTTCCCCTGGCTCTGTTTCATCACTGTATGCAAAGCTTGTCTGCGTCACCCGAATACTTTCTCCTCTTTGTGCCACAATATATTTTCCCTTGTTTGGTCCCCAAAGAGCTTTCTGATAGCACTTGGAAAATTAAATATTCAGTGCATTCCAACCTTCTGCACAGCTAAATGCCCCTTGCTGTTTTCACTGAAAAGCTTTAAATTTAACTAGAAGGGTAGCAATTCCCTTTGTTTATAACCATAGTGTAACAAATTGTAACCAATTGAAAACAATATTGGGTTGTAAATTTGTATTATGATTGGACATTAGAAGGGTGGCGATACTTTTCCCTATGGTGATTTTCAGCCCAATTGTTTTGATGTACCTGCATGTGAAGTTATTAAGGACATTTGCAGTGACATATGGAAAGAATAGAACTTTATTTTCATGTAGTTGCATTTCAGCAGCCTGCTTGTGCGTATGCTAACAAAACAAACTAGACGTAGAGCAAATGGGAAAATAAACAAATCTCCTGCAAAGAAAGCTATTGAGACATGGCAAAGTAAATATCTATATCCTCTGGATAAGACTCAAATAGAAAACAACTTTGCCTCTTGACCTCTCGCTTTCTGTTTGCTTCTAATGGTGACTTGTAATGGTACTACCTACAGGAAACAAACACAGTCCAATTAAATCCAAGCTATTGGTATTTCATTATCATAGAGATCTCAGCAGAACCCCTCTACCCATCCTGATTTGGCTAACATGAAAATGTAATGGGCTCAACAATTATTTTCAAGGATAAAGTGTGTCTAACTGAAAACAAACATTTCTAATGCAACATAACAACTGTTTTTCAAGTCTTTTGTTTCTTTTCAGGTGACCCATTTTCAAGACACTTTGAGCATCTTTCTTCTTGCCTGCCACAATATTTATGGCCTATTTAATTTGACTGCTCTGTGTGACATATTTGCATGGGGAAACAACAGGTTTCTCTTTTTCTAGTCCAGTTTTCATGTGACAAGAATGAGGTTTCTTTTAATGGGTATGTTGTTATTACGATCACCCTGTATCAATTATTTCACATTTCCATTTGCAAAACCTGTCCATGAAAGACACTGCTGAGATTGTTAATGAAAAATGTGACCAATTTTCTGCCCCATTGGTCAAGACTCAGCTTGTTTTCAGTGTAGTGTAGAGCTAGTGCCTCCTGTTTTGTTTCAGCTGCATTTCAGAGCTGGGAAGATTGATGAGATGCAATCAGTTGAGCTGCTTTATTTAAAGTCCTGTCTTTAACCATTTCCTTCTTCTTCTAGGAAGCCATAATAAGCATCTGGATCCAGTTCAGTGACAGCTCAGTTACTCCATTAGACATTTATGACCCAAAGGGCTTCTCCCTTTCTACCATATCTCTGGACAAATCTGTTGTCTCAACCCATCAGAGCACCACTCTGAAATGGCCTGTTGTGGCAGCGGAAGGTGAAGGGCAGGGCACATTGATCAAAGTAGACATGATGATCTCTGAAGCCTGCCAGAAATCCAAGAGGAAAAGTATCTTGGCCATGGGCAACAGCAACATCAAAGTGAAATTTGGCCAAAATGATGCCAACTCCAACAATGGCGGAGATTATGATGCTGACGTACCATCAACAAAATCAGCACCACAGCAAAGTCAATGATCAAAAACAAAGTCATGAAAAACAATAGGTTGGATGGAGGCAAACTCTCAGATGATGGCCAGCTACAGAACATTCCTATAGACTTCACCAACTTCCCTGCTCAAGTAGACCTCCCAAAAAGCAGTGGGGGCATGGAGGAGAATGACCTAGTGCAGACACCCAGAGGCCTTACAAAATCAGCACCACAGCAAAGTCAATGATCAAAAACAAAGTCATGAAAAACAATAGGTTGGATGGAGGCAAACTCTCAGATGATGGCCAGCTACAGAACATTCCTATAGACTTCACCAACTTCCCTGCTCAAGTAGACCTCCCAAAAAGCAGTGGGGGCATGGAGGAGAATGACCTAGTGCAGACACCCAGAGGCCTTAGTGATTTAGAAATTGGGATGTATGCTCTTCTGGGGGTCTTCTGCCTCGCAATCCTTGTCTTTCTAATAAACTGGGCAGCATTTGCACTGAAATACCGCCACAAGCAGGTTCCAGTAGAAGGGCAAACCACCATGACCCACTCCCATGATTGGGTCTGGCTTGGAAATGAGGCAGAACTGCTGGAGAACACAGTGGATGTATCACCTCAGCAGGATGAGCACACAACTATTATAGACCGAGGGATGGGCCACGAGGAAAGCAACCACCTCCTCAATGGTGGCACTCAAAAGAGCATCAAGAGCCAAATCCATAGGTCTGCTGAATCAGGGGGGAAGCATGGAAAAGAGCAGAAAATGGAACCTTTGCATTCCCCCACATCCAAACGAAAGCGGGTAAAATTCACAACCTTCACCACCATCCCTCCTGATGATGGTTGTCCCACAGTCAACTCTATCCTGAGTAGCAATGATGACGATATTAAATGGGTGTGCCAGGATATGGACCTTGAGGACTCCAAAGAGATAAAAAACTACATGGAGAAGTTCAAAGACAAAGTGTAGCTCCTAACTGGTTTTCTGGGTTTAACCACACCTTGCTGCCTTCAGTTCTACAGTATATATTGGGACAGAAAAGGGGGAAGGAGGAGGAGGAGATCAATAGGAAAAAACAACAAGAAGAAGGCAGTTTCTATAATCAGGGAAAGAAATTTGCCAAACTGTCCATGGCTTTGGGTTCATTTGTTTGTTTTTCTTCAGTAGCTGTTTGTGGGTTTGGGCAGTCAATGGAATACAAATAGCATAAGAAAGTAAGGAAACAGATTGACCAATATGATGAACTGGGCACAGTGAGGTTGTGAAAATGTATCTGAAGGGTCAAAATAATAATAACAATATTACAGACAAGGTACCAAAAATTTTTAAAAAGTGGGAGAGTAAGTTAGTTAATAGAAAAGACAGACAAACGGTTACTTGTTTATGTTTATAATAAAGTATCTGAAATATGGAGGTAAGACCCAGGAAGAGACATTTTAGAGTGATACACAAGCACTTGCTTTCTGTTCTTTCATCTGAAGGGAATACTTGTCCCTGGTGTTAAATATGGAACAGAAAGAAATGATCGGGAGGGGGGCAGGTTGGGGTTTTTTTTAGTAGGCTTCTTTTGGAACTGGACTATTTTCCACCTGCTGTAGCTTTCTTTAAAATTTCTTTTAAAATTGAATCCAGTAGGTTCTTTATGAACCAAGAAATAATTGTTCTTCTAAATTAGCTAATAATTATCTTTCTTGTCATGTGAAGAACTCAGAGGATTAGCAAAAACTACTAATTCCAGCATGGCGTCTCTTCTGAAAGCATGAGTCTCAGCTGTTTTGTGCTAGCTAGAAACTTGTTCTCTTTGGAGGAAGATTTAATTTAGCTTTTGGCTGTGGGTTGGTTAGTGGTTTTTTAAGTGTCCACAACCAATATTCCCATGTTTCACCAAGAAAAGAAGGTGTTTTCTACATTTTCATTTTAAAATAATAACCAATATGACAGACCAAATGGTGCATACATAGTCCTAGTCCTCACTACACGCCCTGCCCATACTCCTGTTGATCTAAAATATGCAACTTTGAAGTTGACATACTTATACCTAATTACGACTCTGCCTTCCATACAATTAGGCTAGAGTGTGACGCTCTCCTATTGACTCAGCCTACTCTTCTCATCCTGGTGGAGTACTGGAGTTGATGAGAGATTGCTCAGAGGTTGATTTATTGTATCTAAACAGACATGATAAATTGACCTCCAATGAATTGATCACTGCAGTATTGATCCACCATGTAGAGGAAATAAGCAAGTCCTTACTGAAGCTGAGACCAAGACTACCAAAGCCCAAATATGTGCACAGCCTGATTTTTATTTTTTGCCAGGTCAGTGAATTCATAATTTGTCCTGTATTTTCCTCTGATCATCTACTCAATGCCACTAGTTCTCATGGGGGATGGGGAAGGGATGTGTGAAAGATGTACATGCAAACAGAAAAGCAGTTTGTCCCAAGCCCATTTTATTTCCTTATGTTAGGGGAGCTGGGTTTTTAGATGAATAATAATAGTTTGGAGAAAGAGAAATTCAAATGACCAAGGATCAAGCGATATCGTGGTCTACTTTATTTTCATTTGTTTCTATTGGACTAGCACAAACAGGACAATCTGTTACATTGAAAATCAGTTGTTTTTAATAACAAATAGAAGTTTAGTAATGCCTCAGAAACAAATGGGAGATAAAGGCAGAGCTACATGGGGCAGTTCCAGTGATTTCAATGTCAGTTTCGGAATCTAAATGTTGGGGGGAAGTCAGACTCAGAAAACCTTTTCATAAGTCAAAAGAAATCTTCATGTCAAATCTTTTTGGAAAGCAATATTACGTCTTGACTGCTAGCAGAGAGCACTTATATTGTTTGTCAACCCTGTCTTTATCTGTTGATCCCACCACATCTATTTTATTTTATTTTTTTAATTACTAAACTCAGTAGGTTTCTTTTTATTTTGTTTTCTTTACTTGGACAAAATGGACCCTGCCACTCAATAACATAGAAGGATGTTTTAACAAGTTATGCCTAGTATGCATTGTAGACTGAAAGAATGTAATATTTATTTATACATCGTATACAAATTGTAATTAAAATGCTTTACATGGCTTGACAAGTTAACACGTCTTTGAGGGGGTCATTTTCTCTTCTTTTTTTTTTTAAATAAAAAACAAACCAAAAAAAAAAAGACCAAAAACAAAACAGTTTTACCTTCCCCTGGCCTAATTGCAGAGAAAATGTACAAACTGCTTTCTGAAAAGAGAATCGAAGAGTGTAGAGATTTTACTTCTATCTCTGACCCTTTTGTTGTAACCCACTCCCATCTCCCCACCCAGTTTGTGGTGATGATGATGAACAGACAGCAGGAAAGGACAGCAGGCTGACAGTGTCCTTGTTAATCATATTCATCTTCATCATCACCATGACCCACTCCAGAAATCTTGCATCTGACATGTACAGCTTTATTTGCAGCCGGTTATAAGTAATTGTGATGCTACTGGGGTGAATACTTGGATGTAGATATGCTGCAATGATTAATAACTGATGTTTACAAAGCACCTTTTATCCCAAAGGAACCCAAAGCACTCTACAAGCTAGGCAAAATATATTATACACACACACACACACACAATATCTCTGAATCCTATCTATGAAATGCAGCCACCTCTGGGGTGAAATACCACAGAACCATCCAGCACAACAGTTAAGGACAGGAAGAATGATACCTATTGAAAATCCTGGCAGAACATAGGCAGAAATTTGGCCAGTACATTTGCAATGAAGTGCTAAAGGATTGTTAATGATCTGAACTAGGCAGGCACACTGATTTACGTCTCCTGTGATAGATGGCAGCTCCAGTAAAGTTGTGTGCCCTGTTATCTCCTGGGTTGTTGGTTCAGTACTGGCTTGAGAAAATAGGGCCACCTACTCAAACACTGGCATTGTTCTCTGTAGCACTTGGTTGTTTCTCAGTCACTCTGACCCAGTTTGCCATCTGTGATTTGACAGGAGCAGAGCAGGAGGTTGTGTAAGAAAGATAACACCTTGTTCTACTATAGCACCTTTCACCAGCTGATAATAACATATGAAATTTTGGGCTACCAAGAGCAAGCTGCTGGAGGATATACAGCTTGAAGTGTATGTTCCCCATGGCAAATGCAGAAATTATTTTATGGCTAAATCCAGCCATTTTTATCACGCAACAAGTTGGTGTCAGAAAATGATTACTGTTTAAGTAAGGAAATTATTGTAATTCCTCAAAATGTTCATGTTTTCATTAAAAAAAAGTTGAAACATTTTTCAAAGAAAATTTGAAAAAAAAAAACCAGAATTTCTCATGAAAGACATCAGAAAAGTCTCAGAGGGGTAGGAACAGTGGTCTGTATCTGCAAAAACAATGAGGGCAAAAGCTTATGCCCTAATAAATCTGTTAGTCTGTTAGATGACTGTGGGTAAAACCTTGGTCTCTAAGGTGCCACAGGATGACTCATTGTTTTTTCATGAAAAACAATATTTCCAAACCAGATCTAACACATACAATGTAGATTTTTATTGAGGCAGCTATTCATTCACTGCTGTGCATCTAAAATCAGCTTTTATTTCAGAAACCTTTCTTTAAATTCCTTAAGAAACATACAGATCTTTTATCAGCAGTAAGAATCTTACCATTGGTTTTGTGTAATGCAGTCTCTCTCAAACTGTGCTCTGCGGAGCCCCAGGGCTCCACAAGACATCTCCAGGGGCTCCGCGAGGTTGACAAACTGGAAACATCGATAGGTACAACACATACACTCAGTGGACCGCTGGGCCTCTGCATAAATTTCTATGCATGTAACGGGCTCCGGAGCCCAAAAAGTTTGAGAACCGCTGGTGTAATGCATTGACCTAATCAAGGTATTTCTATTCTGTGCCTTATTTTTGAAGGGTATGTATATTTCAACGTGTGCTGTTGATTTGGAATTTGCCTTGTTTTTCTGAAATAACTGCCTGGAAAGATCTACTCTCCATTATCAATAACAATATTTCTGGCTTCTCCTGGGCTAGTGTGCTAATTACTGCCCTCTTAAAAAGAGGCTTTCAGTGATGATGAGCCAGGTACATACCATACTTTCCTTCTTGAGAGAACCTCTAAGGGTCTGTGTGCAGTGCAATTGATGGTGTGATTGCAGTGCATGTAGACATAGCCAAGCTCGTTTTAATCTAGCTAGATTGCAACAGATCTCAAACTGTGGGTTGTGAAATCTTTTAAATGGGGTCACCAGGGCTGGCATTAGACTCTCTAGGGCCTAGAGATGAACCCAAAACCTGAGCCACACCAGCTGGGGCTGAAGCAAAAGCCCAAGGGATTCAGTCCTGGGCACAGGGGAGCTGACAGCCTCTGTGGGCCCCTGGGCAAGGTGACACCGTGTTCCCAGAAGGGGCAGAGCCTCAGGTGAAAAAGGCAGGATCTGGGGCAGCCAGCTCTAAGTGCTGCCTAGAATATAGTGCACTCCCCTACCCACAGCACTTAGTGCTGCCTGGAACATGCATCGTGGTGTTTTGGGGGTGACATACAGCCAGGAGCCCCAGGCCTCTTTGAATTGCAGGATGACAGGCCTTGGTTTCACCCTGCGTTCAGCCCTGGGTGGCGGTGCTCATGCTAGAGCCCCAGGGTTCAAGGGCTCATGCTTTGATTTTGGCTCTCCCCCTGGGCAGCAGGATTCAGGCTGCTGCTTCCACCCACCCGGGGTCATGTCATAGTATTTGTTGTCATGAAGGAGTTGTGGTACAATGAAGTTGAAGTGACCAGATAGCAAGTGTGAAAATAGGGGGGAAGGCAGGGCTATCCCTAAATTATCAGGGATATCCCTAAAAAAAATTGGGACACCTGGTCCCCCTAGATCAGATGCTGAGACAAGTTTGGCAGGGTGGACTTCAGGGTGAGCTAGGCAATTACCAGGTGCCTGTTAAGTACCAGGGGCTGTAGAGACTTCACTGTAGTCCACTGGTATTGGTACCCACAATAGTGAATCAAAGCTAGCTCAAGCATGCCTATACAGGCAACAGTCAGGTGAGAGTTACAAAGGGAGTTAGGCTCCCAAATCTCATTGGCAGTCAATGAGAATGATGCTGAAAACCCCAGTCTGTTGCACTAAGGTATACCTTTGCTATTCCTAGGGAAGTGGCATATTACCCCACAGAGCACAATGGCACTGGCTGCACAACTCATCATGCAGGTGGTTTACCCCTCACTATCTATTCCTGTACAGAAAGCTGTGTCTACACTATAGACATCTGCCACCATAGCTATGCCAGTCTTTGTAGAGGTGGAATCTCAAACCAACATAGCTGGTCCAGGAGAAGCTCTGAGAGTGGATATAGCCATATGGGCAACACTTTGCTTTTACAGTTCTAGCTTGTTTCACCAATGGGAATGCTTTTACTATATCAGGACAAAGCCATACGGGCAACACTTTGCTCCACACAGTTCCCAGTCAGTATTGAACGTACAGCGGTCCCTGAGTCCAGGACATCACAGACCAATGAGAAGCACCGGGACTAGGCAATTGTGCTAATTATTTGTGGGAATTTAAATTAAAGCCTGGAGTTTTGCAACAAAAGGTCACTGAATCCAACTACTTCAGCTGTGGCAGAGGCACTGCTGAGGGGAGCACCAATAAACAACACATTCCCAGCTTTTATTTTTCCCTCTTCTTAATCCTCCTCTTTATTTGCCACTTGATGGAGTGACAAAGTAGCAGCACTGGAATAGAGCGCTTGGCTGGAGCATGCAACACAGCCATTCTCCTGGAGCAAACAGGATGTTATTTTTCCAACCTCAGCAGCATCAGAATGTTTTATGACAACCTCGCACAGTCACTGCTAGCTGCTCTTAGCTCGTGAGTTCACAGCCTGTGGGGAATAGTGGCTCTGCTTCAAATGAGATGTACAGGGAACAAAGGGAAGCATGTCTGCTTTTATAGGGAGTCATGGCATGGAACAGGTGAAGAACCTCTGGTTTAGCTTCTGGAGCATAAGCATAATCAGTAAATCAAAGGCATAAAATTCACTTCAGGCACCTATTTAATCATAGAACACTAGAACTGGAAGGTACCCTGAGAGGTTATTGAATTCAGTCCCCAGCCCTCACGGCAGGACCCAGCACCGTCTAGATCAGCCCTGCCAGGTGTCTGTCTCACCTGCTCTTAAATATCTCCAGTGATGGAGATTCCACAACCCTCCTCCCGAGGCAGATTCTCCCTAGGCAATTTATTCCAGTGTTTAACCACCCTGACAGTTAGAAAGTTTTTCCTAATGTTCAACCTAAACCTCCCTTGCTGCAGTTTAATCCCATTGCCTCTTGACCTATTATCAAAGGCCAAGGAAAACAACCTTTCACTCTCCTCCTTGTGACACCCCTTTAGGTACTTGAAAGCTGCTATCATATCCCCTCTTAGAGTATGTCTAGACTACATGCTTCTTTTGAAAGAAGCTTTTTCGAAATAATCTTTCAACAAAAGGCATTCATCCTTGTAAAATGAGGTTTACTGCTGTTGAAAAGGCCCCTTCATTCTTTCGATGTAATTTTGAAAGAACATGGTGACAGTCTAGACACAAGTGAAGTTTTTTCAAAAAAAGGCCACTTTTTTTCAAAAAATATCTGGAGTCTAGACATAGCCTCAATCTTCTCTTTTCCATTTTTAAAAGTGTCCCCAATAGCACTTTTAGGGCCTGATCCTCTGTTGGCAATAGTCAGTGTAGTTCCTTTGTTGAAATTACTTGTATGAATAACAGTGTTATGTTAATTGACTCTAGATGGGGAGCTGGACCTTTGTTTCTAAATCTGCGCAGAATCCATGGGAGTTGTGGGTGCAAAAGGCAGACAGCCCCTGTGAATGCTATAAGCTACTGCAATGTACACAAGGGCAATTTATCAGCACAGTATCCCTGCCCAATTCTGCTGTTACAAATGTTCAAGGGAGGAAGCACCTCAGTACCTGAGTCCTGGTAACACAAGAGTTAAAATCTGAGATGACTGTGGGCAAACTTCAGTCTAGCTGGTGTAATGCAGGCCTGGAGCAAACCCCTGTCATGCTGTTATTGGAAATAGTCACAACAGGGCTGTCTCTTTCCAAATCCTCCGGCCAGATGCAGGATTCTCTCCCCGGAGAGGCACCTCCCAGAACTAAGGGTCAGATCCCTATCTCCTTGTAACCCTCCCATTCCTGCATGGACCACGACTTCTACTGTTGGCTTCACACCCAGAGCCAGACACTGCTCTTCACAGCCACCGCCACTATTTTAGCATTTAACTTCAAGTCTACCCACAGTTACAAGACAGTAGTGTGAATCCTTGTGATTTCAAGGGTCTAATCCTGTTCCCACTGCACTCAGTGAGGGTATGTCTACACTACAAAGTTAGTTCGAACTAATGGACGTTTGTTCGAACTAACTTTCATAGGCGCTACACTAGCGCTCCGTTAGTTCGAATTTAATTCGTTTTAGCATTTAACTTCAAGTCTACCCACAGTTACAAGACAGTAGTGTGAATCCTTGTGATTTCAAGGGTCTAATCCTGTTCCCACTGCACTCAGTGAGGGTATGTCTACACTACAAAGTTAGTTCGAACTAATGGACGTTTGTTCGAACTAACTTTCATAGGCGCTACACTAGCGCTCCGTTAGTTCGAATTTAATTCGTACTAACGGAGCGCTTAGTTCGAACTAGGTAAACCTCATTCCACGAGGATTAAGCCTAGTTCGAACTTACTAGTTCAAATTAAGGGCTGTGTAGACCCTTAATTCGAACTAGTGGGAGGCTAGCCCTCCCCAGGTTTCCCTGGTGGCCACTCTGGCCAGCACCAGGGAAACTCGTCTGCCCCCCTCCCGGCCCCAGATCCCTTAGAGGGGCACGGTCTGGCTACAGTGCCCGTGCCCGGGGCGCACCCTGCCACCCCCAACCCACCGGC